TTTTCACCATTTCTGAGATCCTTGAGCTTTCTGGGCAAAATACCTTCGGCGAATTTGCAATTACTGGAGATCATTTTCATAAGAATCTGGCCACCTCCCAGTTCTCTTGATTCGAGGAGTCATGGGTTTGTCCTGAACTTCTTCTTGTTTACTTTTTTTTTTCTACGTTTCATTTTAATTTAATCTCTTCTTACTTTTTTTGGCATTTTCGGAGACAGTTTGCCCTGCTCCTCTTTTATCTCTTGAAAAAACCCCAATTATGGCAACCATATATACCCCGACAAAACTACCTCTTCGACATCTTCCTCTCAGGCCCGACTTGACTCCATGGTCGATAACTACTCAAACCTTCGAACAACTTCATTTTTATATGTTCCCATTTCATACATCTCGACCAGGTCACTGTGGTCGAAGGTGAAACAGCCACCACCGTTCCCGACCTAGACAAATTTGTAAAACCTAATATTTAACTTCTTATACTAACGACCAGTTCACCCTCATTCACGAGAGTGCGAGCTTCTCCAATCTTGGGAGCTCCGAGCGCCGAAAATCGACGAATCTTTTGACGAGCCCCCTGAGGGCTTTTACTCATTCTTTGTAGACCAAATTTATGTCGGCCTACTAAAGCTTAGCCGGCCTAATATGATACCATTGAACCACTTCAACCCCAATTCCAATCGTATTATGGTCGGATTTACCATCCTCGGTGGGTGTCTTCTTCATGCGCTTGACACCGACCTGTTCTTTTAGCGTTATTGGTATAAACTCCAAAAGGGATCTTTCTACCTATCAACCCGCAACAAGGCTCGATTCCTTGTCGACCTTCCTTCTGACGTGTCTTCTTGGAAGACGGATTACTTCTTCGTTCGACCTCCCCTGACACCTTTGACTTTTTCTTGGAAGTGAATTTGTAGCCTAGTCAACACAAATCACGCATTGATGTTGATTTAATAGTTAAACTAATCTATTATCTTTGAACAAATTATAATATTTTTTTGTTTTATATGGTAAACTTAGCATCACGGTCAGCTGGGTTTATCTATACATACATATTAATTATTGCACAAACATTTGAAAGGAAGCAACCTAAATTTCATTGTAATTTCCCAGAAAATTTTAAATATTGACTTTAGCTCCAAAATTTTCAGTATAAATAGCAGCTTACATGACAATAATTGATGTACTAAAAATGAGTGGCAATAAAGCTATGGATCATAGAGAGGGCCAATGGACTACGGGGCTCTATGATTGCTTTGAAGATCGCTCTCTTTGTAATTCCACCAATTAGTCATTTTTTTTTTCTCAATATATATATATATATATATATATATATATATATATTAAGTATTTTTGTATTTAGTTATTATTATTGGCTTATATTTATTTATTTTTCTTTTTGTTTTTTATGTGTTAATAATTTGAAGGTTTGAAGACTTGCTGTTGTCCATGCATCATCACCGGTCAAATTGTGGAGATAATTGATAGAGGGGCTACGTGTAAATTTCTTTACTTAGACTTATTCCCAATTTTTATCCAAATTCTAACACATTTTTATTCATATGAAATTATGCAAAATGAAATATACCGGAAATAGTAGAAAAATGGAAGGATTTTTATTTTTATTTTTTTTTTAAACAATGGGTTATATTGTTGAACAATACGTCACAATATACCACATGGAGTTGTCCCATTGGCTGTTGGCTTCATAACGGAGCCAACAGTTGGCTCTTTAGCATTACTATGGGTTATATTGGTGAACAATACGTCACAATATACCACTTGACTAAGCAACAAAAACAATGCAATTAAAAAAAGACAAAATTACAATTTTAGTCCTGTTGGTTTGATCCAGTGGCGTTTTTAGTTTTAAGAATATTCTTTACTATTTGGTCTTATAATTTTAAAACTCAATGCAATTTCGGTCTATTGGTACTGAAAATGCAACAAAATTTAAAATTACACGACTTAAATTGCTAATAAATTAAAATCTTTTGGATGGATTTTTGATATAACAATTCTTTGTTGCAATTTCAATCTCAAATGACTAAAATTGCAAAAAAATACTAAATTACAGGATCAAAAGACAAAAAAGTTAAAATCTTGGGACTAAAAACGCTAATACATTAAACTAACAGGACTAAAAATACAATTTTGACTTAAAAGAATTTAGCCCAAATGATTTTCAAAAATACCTCCTTGCATTTAAACGTATGTTATTTTAATTTATTTTTGCCCCTTTCAGCCAGTGGGACTGCTGCTTGTATATTCGCTGCTCTAAAATCGGTCCACTGCGCCTGGTTGTACACGAGCAATTACCGCGCGAAATTAAGGGCACTTTATAAATTGCCAGAGGCCCCTTGTGGAGATACTGTGATCCACTGTTGCTGTTGCATATGCGCCACGAGCCAGGAGTACAGAGAACTCATGAATCGTGGCGTTGATCCCTCCATAGGTAACAATTAATAAATTTATAAAATTGAGTTTTCTGTATTAAAAATGAGTTTTTTTTTTCTTTCTTTTTATTTAATTTTAATTTTATGAAACGATAATATTATAAAATTAACTAAAACCAGTATGGAATAATATTATGTAATATATTTATACTTATAGACGTGGCCAATTATTGGGCCGCGGCGGGTCTGCGGGCCTCAATCTCATGACCCGTAACCGGCCCGCCTAATTAACTGGCCCGAATTATCGATTCACTGACTCTAACAGTTCATGGGCCATTAGTGCCCTTCAAAAAAAAAATAACTTGTGGCCCGTTTTTTGACTCGCGGCCCGACCCGGCTCGACTTAAACCGGTGGGACCAAAAAACAAATAATTGAATTAGATCCGAACCGCGACCCTAATGGACCGGTTCAACGAACCGGCCCTTATGAGGCCGGTTCGGGCTTGGCTGGTTCGACCGCGGACATGTCTAAATATACTGATAAAAATGAGTTATATTGTGTAGGTTGGGAAGGAAATGTTGACAAGTGGAAAGAAGAAGGCGCGGTGGTACCCCCATTTTTTCCATCCAATATGGCTCGTTGACCTTTTTTTTAAAAAAAAAAAAATAAATTAAAAAATAGAGGATTTGATTGGCTTTGGTTTGAAAGGGTTGATTTACTTGTGTGTTCTTGTAAGATGTTTAAAACAATAAATTATATGTTGAAAAATTGAAATGTATTTTTTTTGCCTCGTTTTTATCATAGATAATTTTAACAAGACATTAGTAGCATATTAGCATTACAAACATCGATCCTCCCCGTGCTAATAAGGATAAATCGGATTCAATTAAAACAAGGAAAAAATATTAATTAGCATAAATATAATTTTAAATATTAATGTTTTTTTTTTTCATTTTTATGATAGATAATAGTAAATAATAGTAAGTATATGATTTACATGTTTATTTCACATGTTATAAAATAGTTGTTATTTTACAAATTATGTTCGAAATTAAAGAACGTCAAAATTAAACATATTCAAATACTACAAATAAATAATGCTAAAAAAATACTTCTCTCTCTTCTCTTATCCAAACATTGGTTTTGTTTGGCGATCAGCGGATAGCGGATTGTATTAGCGGATAGCGGATAGCGAATTATATTAGCCGATTTGACCAGCGAATTGCATTAGCGGTTTTTAAATAAGTGTTGGTAAATAAGTGAAAGCTTATAGCTGTTTGACATTGCAAATTACTAATAAGGACACTTTTATTATTTAGGGTGTATTCTTTTAATAATAATTATTAAAACATTCAATATTCTTTAGTTGTTAATTTATAAATATATTAATTTTTTTTAAAATTTTACTAACACTTGATTAAGAAGTTATAAATTTTATATTTTTCTAGATAAATTAATCATATGAATGACATATTATTATTTATTAGCACCATAAGCCAATGTAAATTGTAAAATAAAAAATACAAATTAAAAAGTTCCAAATTAAAATAGTAGATTGTGAATCATCTATCCCAAAAAGCTCCACTAATGAGTTTTTTCTAAATTAGAGTTTTGGGCCCAAAAAGCTTATCAAATAAGCTATTTACCAAACAAGCTCAATAGCGGATTTGACGAGTCAAACCTCTCAATTAAGTCCAATCCGCTAATTTATCTTCAATACGCTATCTTCCAAACGGGGCCATTATTACAGTTTGTTATTTTGATTCTCAAATATGTGATGGTAAAGTTGAAATTTGTACCCAAGAGCGCTTGGATGAGATGGCTTGGTTATTCCAGCTTAACCAGTGGTCTCGTGTTCGAGCCCTGGAAATGCAGCAATGTTAAAACTCTTGAGGGAGAGCTTTGCCGCCCTTGTGGTCCTACCCGACTCGATTCCGGATTAGTCGGTTCCCCTATGGATCCGGAAACCAAAAAGTCCTTGTACCAAAAAAAAAAAGTTAAAAATTTGTATAAACCAACACTTAATATAAAAAGAATGTAGATTATTATATAAAAAATACTATTTTTAAATTACGTCAAAATTAATTAATTTTAATTTTAAATTGACAATAATGTATATTATAAATATCTTGAATTTATTTCCAATCTAATAATTCATATGACAGCTCGACACTAGTTGATTTATATTTTTTTTTCTATAAATGGTATAGGGAAATTGAATTGAGTTTTTATGAACTTAAATGCTCAATTCTTATAAAAGAACTATTATTGAAGAAATGAAATTTTAAATTGAAAATACTTACCGAACAAAAAGCTGAGATGATAATAAGTCTCTTTCCCCAAGATAAATACGTCTCGAGCAGTATTTTACAGTTTAGGTGTATCGTCCTTAAAGAAAAAAGGTCATACGCCTTAGACTCTGTATCTACAGTTTAGGTGTATTGTCTCTCTAAGATACAACATCGTATGCCTTAGACTCTGCAGCACTTAAAAAACTGAAGCTTTGACACAAGTTGAAAAGCTTAGAGCAAAGCACAATTTGTATGCAATGTAGGGTTCAATTATAGACAAATTAAAACACAAATTCTTTCTATAATCACCAACCCACTATATAGACAATACCATTTCTCAATTGACTTAATAAATAAATGGGTTAATTGATAAATAAACCTTAACTGCAGTTTTATCCCAATTTTTGGGTAATTGCAATATAATCTCGATCTCAATTTACTTATTGTAAATTTGGGTGCAAAGTGATTGATTTTAGGGATTTGTGGATCGATTTTGTGTCCAAGTCTTCCATTGACACGGGCTTTTATGCTATCTGCGTAGCAAGTTGACAATTCTCACGTAATTAATGTATATCCACGCACAAAGTCAAAAATTTCACGTCAATGTAAGCTACCGGTGATGAGTCTCCTCCTAGATCTGGAGTGAACCGGTAAATATGAGTTCCGATCTTTTCAAACCGCCTTCAAATCGACCAGTTTTTTGAAGGTCCAACCAGTTTTAGGTTCGACTTACAATAAGTAAATTGAGGTCGAGATTATATTGCACTTACCCAAATATTGAGATAAAATTACCAAACGCAAAAAGAATAAGATTTATTTATCAATTAACCCTAAATAAATTCCACTTTTTGATTAGTTAAAGGAGTACATACTGAATATGCATGCACATTATTATTATCGAATCAAGAAGACGAACTGTTGAATATTTTGGTATAAATACACGGAAATCCTACGAACTGATATTTTTCAGTTCTTACAAATAATCTATAAAAATAGAAAATTACAATCGAACTGAAAAATAAAATACAACTGAATCTCGGAAAGATTTTAGCCGAGGCGAGTAAAACTCTTTCCGCAAGAAGAATACGCCCCGTGTGGCTGCTAACGGTTCAGGCGTAACTTCCCCAAAGATACAACGGCAAACGTCTCTAAATCTGTAGCACACCAGATTTACGAGCACCGGCGAACTTGAACGGAGTTGAGAATTGAGCACTAAAAATATTTAATTTACACTCATATGGGGGATTGTTAGAAATTGTGAGTGTAAACAATTATTTCCAACTAATATTCCAACAAATAGATTCTTATTCTTCCAACCTCTACACTAATTTGTTAATTAAGTCAACCATATTTATTAATGGTTAGTTGATGGAATATTAGTTGATGATAACCTTTTTATTAATGGTGAGTTGATGGAATATTAGTTGATGACATATTGATGCTCCCATGTGTGTATATATATATATATAGATATATGTGTTCTGCAAGAAAAAAGAGATTTGAGGGAAAAACGAAGTGAGCAGAAACCGAAAAATAAGAAAGAAAAGAGAGAGGAAGAAAGAGGAAAGAAAAGTGATAGAAAAGATAGATTTATGTCCAATTATCGGACATAAAAATATCAAAAGAGAAGAAACAAATAATATTTTTATTTGTTTTATGATATATCTTTTTATTTTAGTGCTCAATTCTCAACTCCGTTCAAGTTCGCCAGTGCTCGTAAATCTGGTGTGCTACAGATTTAGAGACGTTTGTCGTAGTATCTTTGGGGAAGTCACGCCTGAACCGTTAGCAGCCACACGGGGCGTATTCTTCTTGCGGAAAGAGTTTTACTCGCCTCGGCTAAAATCTTTCTGAGATTCAGTTGTATTTTATTTTTCAGTTCGATTGTAATTTTCTATTTTTATAGATTATTTGTAAGAACTGAAAAATATCAGTTTGTAGGATTTCCGTGTATTTATACCAAAATATTCAACAATCGCAAGAAGAATAATAGTAATCCTACTGAACTGATGGCATCCACAGTAGCAGGTTCCAGCTCTCAGCATCCGATCAATCATGTACCTGTTGTCCATGATCATACAGCTGAAAAGTCTGAAAAATTCAACGGGCTTGACTTTAAGAAGGTTGGGCCAAGGAAAGGTAAATCGAGTGCCCTTGTGGCTGAACACGGCTATGTGCCGGGTGAAATGACCGATTTTGATATGTCGACTGTGGTTTTTGAAGCCAATTTGGTGGATAACCCAAGGGAGTGGTTAATCGATACTGGTGCCACTAGGCATGTGTGTTCTGACATGGAGGTGTTCTCTGAATACACTCCTGCTACGAGTCAGAAACTTCACATAGGAAACTCCTCCACGTCTGATGTGGCTGGAGTGGGCACTGTGGTGCTGAAGCTCACTTCTTGTAAAGGAGTTGAAGCTGAAGGATGTTCTGCATGTCCCAGACATCTGCAAGAATTTGGTCTCCGGATCACTTCTTGTTGAGCATGGATTTAGGCTGGTGATTGAAGCTAAGAACTTTATTCTTAGCAAGAACGGTATATTCTTTGGTCGTGGTTATCTCGACAAGGGATTGTTCAAAATGAATGTATTGGCCGTGAGCCGTGTAACCGTTGATAATAAAAAGCCTATTTC